TATGGCTTAAACTCCTAAACTGGTCGTGGGGCACAAATAAGCCCTAGGTGTCAAGTAACAAAACTCATTCGTCTGCAAATACTATAATCTCATCACTATAGTTCAAATGCTTACTCAGAGTACGCAAGTTTGATTGCTCTTCCACTAAGCTTGTTCGGTTCGGCCTCAAACACCTTCCTTATGGATTCCATGTCCTGGAAGACGATGAAACCGCTTTGGTTGGCTTCGAGCCTCTTTAATAAACAAGCTACCTTGACTCCACCATAGTTGTAAAAGTACTCACGTAAATCATGGGCATTTGTCGAGTTTGGCAAACCTTCAACGTAGATTCTGTGTGGGTCCGAATTTGTGCTAGGTTTCTCCTTCGATCTTGGTTGCATTACAAAAAAAGGTCCGAAACTTGGTTATTTTTACATCAGTGTGACTGCTAAAAATTAGCATTTCTGTGGCTCAAATACAGCATCTTTCTTGCTTACACAAACACGCCAATCCAGACTGTCACGCAGAGACGAATACCTTAGAGCAGCGGGTAACAATCGTAAAGGTTCAAAATTGTTCGGCAAATCAGGAACTTCTTAAAAACGAAAGGTAACCTATCTTTAAGAATACACTTTAAAGAAAGCGTTATCTTCTAATGAACGAGTACCAGAATAAATATAATTTGCGCATTTTTTACATCAAAAAATATTCAAATTTCTGAAATCACTGACAATTTTAGAGAGCGTTGGAAAGGAGTTTATTCAAAAGCAGGTATCCTGACGAGACCATATTATATTAAGATTAGATGGAAGATAAGCAATACGGCAGCCCCTGAGAGAGAAGCTACTATACTGTAGCTACTGTACTGTAAAAAAGTCAATTCATTTTATTCATAGTAATGCAAATATGTCGCACATTCACGGGGGCTCCGATCTTGTTTTAAACGACGCACCAACTATGCAGATGTTCACATTAATGACGCATTAATGATGTACTCTCCCATTTACCACCCTCACTCATATAAACGGCCAC